ATGATTATATGTCTGATGAAGCTTAACAAAGTCTGCATTTGTTCATTAGTGAGATAGCAAGACTATATAACCAGTGTAGTGTCAAGTCATGTCAGTCCTTTGTATTTGAATTATTATGTATTTACTTTTTCATTGTGAACTCATTCCATTGTTTTACCAGTGTAGTCAGTTTAGTGACAAGTCATGTCAGTCCTTTTGTCATTCACGAGGTATGTCAATACTTTATCATCGTGGAGTCATTTCATTACTTTATCAGTGTGTCGTCCGTCTAGTGACAAGTCATGTCAATCCTTTTGTCATTCACGAGTTATGTCATTACTTTATCAGTGTAGAGTCATATCATTACTTTACCTATGTCAAGTCATGTTAGTCGTACCCTGTCAAATTTATATATAATTGTATTTCGTATCTATATAAACCATCCTTATTACTTGTGTACATCATAACCCAAAATATGTCTAGGCACACATCTAAGAGACAATCCAGTCAAACCACTCAAGGTTCTTCATCACGCAATGAACAACAAAGTTCATCTTCACCCTACAAATGTCAATGCTCCACTGGTCGAGCAGCATGTAGTGTATATGTAGTTCGTTCAATTGAATCCTACACAGATTCTATCGGTGTAACTTGATATGGACAAAAACATGAGTTCCGTAATAAGCCCATCGACCCTTATCACTCATTCGATCAAGTTGGACACGTATTTGTGGGGTCTGCGACAAATTCTTCGCCTCCGAGTGTTCGTATCGAACCCACGCCAAGATGGCAACAGTTATATGACAAACATTGTGAGCTTGAAGTATACTATCGTTGGCATGGATTAATGGTATCGAAGGTACGTTCGGCTGATATATATGATCCACAAAACTCTACCAACCATAACGAGATCATAGCAAGGCTTGAACGTGAAAATGATCAAATGCAGCGTAGACTTGATCGTTTGCATGCAATCGACCATCCAAAAATTGAGCATTTCGATTCTGATTATGCTGAGATTCAAATTTTGCAGGATCCGTTACTTGTTTCAGATACAAAACTTTCTGATTGTTCTGATTTAAGTGATGATGCGTTTGATACTTTTATTCCATCAAGTTTATGTGTAATGGGCAACCCTCTAAATTGTTTTCTACATCAACCAAAATATTGACAGACTGTATTTCTTACAGTGTCATGTAATAATTATTTTTTTTTAATGTATAAGTATATTTTACCATATTTTGAAATTTTGCACACTTTTGTACAAAACTATAAATGTTTGATGAACTTATAACATAAAATTGGAATACATAATTTCTTAACATATACAAAACAAATTTCAAAAAAAAAATGTTTTTAAAAACGTCTTTTCAAGTGACGTTTTAAAAAAAAAATTGAGTTTGAAAAATAAAGTTTTAGGGCCGATTGGGTTTGGAGAAAAGCTCCTCCAGATTGGGATGCTTTTATAACGTGGGAAGTGAGATTATAATATTGAGATTTTTTTTAATCAATTTAGTAAAACATGAGTTAAATACATACTTTTTGATATAGAAGTGTGTTTTCAAAACATGTTTTTAATTTTTTTTATTAAATATATGTTTTACAAATATGTTTTTATATTGAAAAATATGAACTTAAATTATGCTTTTATGAATTTTATTTTCGATTATAAAATAAGTTCAAAATTATTATGAAAACGGAATTAAATTCTAAAATTTATTTAATTATTTTTTTTTGTCTGGTGAATCATGATGTGAGAAATAAGGTAGAGTAATTAACTTTTATGAAATTTATTACAAGTAGGTTGGAGACTTTTGGCTAAGAAAAAATCATTGTAAAAGGCTAAGAAGACGTTTTTAAAACTTCATTGTAAATAAATGGGTGGAAAACGTCGTTGTTAACAAAGGGGCAGAAAACGTCATTCGCCTTTATTTTTTTTAATGTTTGTTAATGGCCGTTCAAAAATTAATGTTTAAAAACGTCATTATAAATGACGATTTTAAAAATGTCATTAAGAATGAAGTTTTCAAAAAAGAAAATTCAACTTTAAATTGTCATTCCAAATGACGTTTTAACATTTGAAGGCGTCATTTCAAATGACGTTTTAAAAAAAAAAAATTGGGTTTGAAAAATAAATTCAAAACTGACTAGATTTTTGAATTAAGATTTGAGGGGGCAGGGTTTGGGGAAAACCTCCTAATAAATCCTTCCCAACATCCAGACCAATGAGCAACAAACTGGGTAATGACTTTAAATTTGGGATATATACTCAATTTTAGTTGTATATTGAACACATGGTCGACAAAACTGGTTTAGTAACAGTGACTTACTACCTCGCACGCAGCCAAATATTAGGTCTATATATTCAATCTATTTTCTTTACAATACCTTGACCAATGGGTAACGAATTGGGTAAATTATAACCCTTTGTCTTTCGACTTGTCTCAGTTCTATGACTAGTATATGTTGTAAACATGTAGAAACCATAGTTATTAAACTCAGCATGAGCATCAATTAGGCAAAAGAGTCGAGTCGATGGATCAGTGGTTCAATGTGCTGGGCCCATCCGAGCTTAATGACACTATGCGGAACCAAAATCAAATTTTTAGTAGCAGTGAGTACTGCCTCATATGCAGGAGTTTGGTGAGAGCATGAGAGAGCTTCTCTCTGGTCATAGTAATCCATCACTTGGTCAAGATATGTGGGCATAGTATAATGTTGTGAGAGGTTACACATGCATGTTAGAGAGTCATATAAACATGTTTTGTTTTTCGTCAAACTGAATTTTCTAGGTAAGATTTTATGAGTCTAGCATAACATTTGAACACTTCAATTTATTCCATCCATCTGTGTAATGAATACACCAACGAGTAAGGGTAGAAAGGAGAAACAGAACTGAGGAACAATGAACCACGTGGTAGATTTTCGTGGCCACCTATTCAACCATTTGACAATGAATAAAATATGTGCAATGCTGTGGAAACTTAATTTGAGATCTAATTACACTTAAATCATTGTATTTATTGGATTAATAATATATGATTAAATAAAGTGCACTATCAATTGAATAATCATAATACATTATGATAGGGTGAAATCATAAAAATAGTAAAATTATTTTCTACCCCTCTTTATGCAAATTAAATAAGGAATGTACCAAAATCAATCAACCAAAAATAAAAACAAATAATAAATCAACCACAAGTAAGATATAAAATTTACACGGTTCCTCCAAATCCAAAGTACGTCCATTATGTTACAATAATAAGTTTATAATAATTCTCCCTAGAATAATTTCCAAAAACTATCAAAGTATCAATAATCATCACCCGATGGGTATCACCAAAATCACAATAAGAGATTTAACCTGATAGATATTATAAAGATATCAACTCAAGAAGACTTTCATCACAATAAATTGATTACTGCATGGTCTCCATTGTCACGAACAATATACTAAAATTTCATCAAATTAAAATTGAACGTTGATTGTCTGCCACAATTTTGACCTAACAATCTACGCCATAAACTTTATCCTCTCGGTTTGGTCAAAAGGCTCCTGTGCGACGACTATTGCTTCTGGTTTTTCATCCCTCCACCAAGAGTTTTTTATTGGTTAAAAAGCCCATTCCTCCTTGGCTTGTGCATGAAGTGTTAGACTGGAAGACAAAATCTTCCAAGGCATATGTGGTCCAAGTTGACCACGTTTCTACACCATCTCCCATGCCTTTTGTTTTTCTTTACTAAAAATTAATTAAATACATGGGTTATGGACCGATAGTTTATGGGTTGGGTTGCCCACATGGGCTGGACCCCAAACTCGACAATCTATCCCTCCAACTCATGTGGAGAGCTCAACCAAGCCCACTTTACTTGGACAAACATTGAGTTTCTCCTTGGGCAATGGTTTAGTTATCATATCTGAATTGTTCTCGTTAGTATGGATCTTTTTAAGCTACAATAACTTCATTTTCAATACATCACGGATCCAATGATATCTCACATCAATATGCTTGGATCTTGAGTGGAAGGTTAATTTTTTGTTGGCTTCAGTGACAACAATATACTCAATCTTTGTGATAGATAAAGCAACACTTCTCTACAACTTAGACTGTCATGACACTACTTCCCTTGAATAAGTAATCAAGTAACTTGAAGTAGACTTCCTAGAGTCAATGCTCTTTTTCTGATCCAAATGTTTCACAACCAATCTTGCCTTGTACCTGGGCTATGAGCTATTTGGTTCGACCTTCAATCTAAACACTCATTTATTCTTGAGTATTCTATTACCCTTAGGTAGTTTCACCAACTCATAGGTATGGTTCTCATGTAAGGATTTCATCTCCTGTTGTATGGCTTTCTATCACTCCCTTGAAAGAGACGTCTTAGATTTCAATGAATAATTAGATGTGATAGGGTTCTAACTTTCTTTTATCAGTAAAGGGTTGGCCAAACTCAGGTTTCTAACATCAACGTAACCTCTATGGTAGGCCTCCCTGAAATAAGGAATGAAGTGGGTCAACCTCTTTTTGGCTTCGGCCAAACACTTTTTCTCTCTGCCTAGGCCAATCAAGAGGTGTGAAACTCACCCCGGGCACCGAATATATGCCTTATTTGTATTATTAGTCAAAGACTAGCTCTATGAAATTGGCAAAGATCTCATATTGTCTGGGGGGGTTTTTTAACATGACCAAAGTATACAAAATGTTTTCCCCCCAGGGATACCTAAATATTAATCCGAATTACCTCGAATCTCAATGTCCAAGAATTGCCAATTGACTACGTAAATAACTATGGAATATACGAAATCTCACAGTTAAAGAGATGCTTACTATACATAGACCACATACGAGCGTACCATACGCTCTACATGTGATCTAATCTAGAGAGTACCTTGTATCCTACACCACCAATACGGCATAATGTTGAGAATCTTTGTATATTATACTTTAGATTCGAGGCCATTAGATCATAAGGGTGATGGAAGTTCATTAGGGCTCTGACTGAGACAGATGATAGGGCTAACCCCTTCCAAGGGTCTCAACATGGGTAACAGAGGGGTAGGCTTGGTGAGCCAGCCTTTCCAGCAAACATATTCTAGCCCTGGGATTCTTTCCTCGAGTTGTGGGAAGACTATCTTTTCGAGAAAGAACTGCAGTAAGACAAGGACCAAGGGGGAGAACTTTGTCCCCTTCCCTATTGATCATACAACAAATGAACATGGTTAGGAATCATTAATGGCAAGCAATGGATTTTCTTTACCTGAACTTCTCTGCCCATATCATCATCATCATAGGGGACAACGAGCGGTTAAAAAAAGTTTTAGATTGATCTTTAAATTGGAAGGACAATTGAACTCTGTAGAAGCATCGACTGGAGCCCAATCTCTTGTTTGGGTTCATTGTATGTTTACTGTGGGCTTTGATGTTGATACCTGTGCCTACTTCATTGCAGCTACCATGATCATAGTTGTCCCATTTTTTACTAAGTAAGGTTCCAGGGTGCCTATGTGATTTTTAACGCAAGGTGCTACTATATCAGTAGTGGAGTGGTTGGAATCAAATCGTCCCACCTCATTTTGTCTCTTAGGTTTGGGAAGTTCGACCAACCCTTGCTTTACCCACGGACTTGGAACAATTTAAACACTACTTTTCCTAGGCTTTGAAAAAGAAGGTTCCAATGAATCCAAGGAAAAGAGCACATTATGGCCATGACTAGCTAAAGATCACTGCCATCTCGTGAATTGGATTTGAACCAATATGTGTTACTTAATTAATCTCTTCAAAATTCTCAAGCTCTCCACCATCTATGAGCAACACATATTCATCAAGAGAATACTATTTAAGAAGTCGATGCTCTCTGGTAGATCTTCTTAGTGGAGTTTCAACTGGTGGCTCTAGAGCTAGTAATACATACTGAGGTGGCTTTGGAAGTACTTGTTCTGTATGTTCTGATTCTACAGGATCAAATACAAGTACTTCATCAACATCAGTTACTGGTTCACCAATTTCATCAACTGTATCAACCTGTTCTTCTTGGACATCTTCCCCGTGATCATCGTATATAATGGGTGAAGGAGAAACTAGATCCAAATCAAAAAATTTCTCATTGAAAGACTCTAGAGTTTTACACCTTTTCAAGTCTTCAATGGTTTGGTCTTCAAAGAAAACCACATCTCTGCATTTGACAATTTTCTTGTCAACTGGATTCCACAATCTGTAACTAAATTCTAATGTCCATAACCCAAAAAGATACACTATTTAGCCTTACTGTAAAGCTTGGATCTCTCATCATGAGGAATATGGACCTAATAGAGAAAAATTAATCAAATCAACAAATGTCTTCATCGCCTCACCTCAAAAAGATGTAAACAATTTCGCATGAGAGAGCATACATCTAATTCCCTCACAAATCATTATGTTTATTCTCTTTTCTACTTCGTTATGCTGTGGGGTCTTTGAAATAGTGATACCATGGTTTTTGCAATACCCTTCAAAAGGTTCAAGTTATTCACTATTGATGGGTTAAGCCCAAATAGTCCAATTTATGTGTTAAAGTTCAACTCCAGTTGAGGAGCCCAACCTCATTTTGAATCTACCAAGCCCAAGACAGTCCAAGACCGGTTAGACTTTTTGCTTAGCACGTCATCGAGAGGAGAGCATGAGAAGCTTATCTAAAACACCGAAGGAAACGGTCCAAGTTTTGACCACGTTTCATGAAGAGCTCCCCAACCTCCTCCTTCCGTTGAGGATAGGTCATGATCTCCACCAGAATGATCTTTTAGTGCGATAAAGTAGCCTTGAGGATAAGTCATGATCTCCACCAGAGTGATCTCTTAGCTGCGATAAAGTAGCCTTGAGGATAAGTCATGATCTCCATAAGAATGATCTCTTAGCTGCTATAAAGTAGCCTCAATCTGTGAGAAGCCAAGAAAAAGAGATGAAGGTCACGCCCCACTAACACTTACAGAGGACAGACCGACGACCGGAGACCACTCTTTCTTTGATTCTCCATTCTCTCAAAGCTTGTATCTCTATTCTCCATACCTCTGAATTAATAAAATACCCGGCAACTGAAGCCATTGAAGAGTGGACGTAGGTCGAATTGACCGAACCACTATAAATCGTGTCTTCTTTAATTTTTTCATTGATTTCACTGCATTTATTACCTACACTTGACAGGTGGTGTGCAAAACCATTTTTGTGCATCATCAGTTTGGCGCCGTCTGTGGGAAACGACAAAATTCTCACTCCTGAACATTACATCCATTGAACTAATGGCGATCACTACCCGATCCATGAACCAACCTGAAGACAATCCTCCACGAGAGGAAGAGATTGCTCCCCCGCCTACCAACTCTGTTCCGGATACTCTAGCTCCGTATCCCCAGCAAATGTTGGAGACCATGCACTAACTGGTTGCTCAAAACCAACAGTTACTGCAACTCATACTTGCTAGACAAGGAGGAGCACCACTCGGAGGTGCACAACATGGAGGACCCCAAGGAGGAGCACCACT